GATAATTGCTGATCATTGCCTGTAGTAAAATACCAGTGATGAATCATTTCACAAAGAGCCATCTTCATCAGCACTTGCACACAGCCTACAAACCTCCAAAACATAGCCTTTCCTTATCTAGCCACTATGGTGGTGTGAAGCTTTGGTCCCTGTTTTGATTCGGCAGAGATCTGGACTGATTCGGTGGCCAAATCTCCGAATCCAAATCAAATCAAAGCGCAGGTTACAGGCGTGGGTGAATGAGAACAGGGTGGGTTTCAACACTGACAAGTGCAAGGTGATGCACCTGGGGAGGAAGAACCAGCACCATACCTACAGGCTGGGGAACTCCCTTCTCGTCAGTGCAGAGGCAGAAAAGGATCTTGGAGTCATCATTGATGCCAAGATGAACATGGGCCGGCAGCGCGGGGACGCAGTCAGGAAGGCCAACCGTACCTTGTCATGCATCCACAGATGCATCTCGAGCAAGTCCAAGGAGGTGATCCTCCCCCTCTATGCAACACTGGTCAGGCCGCAGCTGGAGTACTGCGTCCAGTTCTGGGCGCCGCACTTCAAGAGGGATGTGGACAACATGGAGAGGGTCCAGAGGAGGGCCACTCGCATGATCAGGGGGCAGCAGGGCAGGCCCTATGAGGGGAGGCTATGGGACCTGAACCTGTTCAGCCTTCGCAAGAGAAGGTTGAGGGGGGATGTAGTGGCCTGTTACAAACTAGTCAGGGGGGATCAGCAGGTACTGGGGGAGTCCCTGTTCCCCTGAGCACTGCCAGGAGTGACTAGAAATAACGGTCACAAGCTGGCAGAGGGTAGATTCAGACTAGACATCAGGAGGCGCTACTTCACTGTCAGGGCGGCTAGGATCTGGAACCAACTTCCAAGCGAAGTGGTGCTGACTCCTACCCTGGGGGTCTTTAAGAGGAGGCTAGATGAACACCTTGCTGGGGTCATTTGACCCCAGTACTCTTTCCTGCCATGGCAGGGGGTCGGACTTGATGATCTGCTCAGGTCCCTTCTGACCCTACTAACTATGAAACTATGATCCCTTTAATCTCTCCAAATCAATTTGGAACCCTTCAAATTGATTTGGAGAGATTCAGACAGATTCAGTTTGGATGTAGATACAGCTTCAAATGTTTTTTCTACATACCTCTAGGTAGCAGGGGCTCTGAGCGCTGTGGTGCTAGGGCAGATGCACTGTCCCACAGAAGCACGGGGGCTCCCCAGTGTGCTCAGCAGCAGACCTGGAAGTGGACCAGAAGCACTTTTGGGTCCACCAGGGAGCATGATGGGGGCCCCCCCTTATCTCCCCACCTCTGGCTTGACAACTGGTGCCTCCTGGGTCTGGGGGGGCACATGGGGTCCCTCTGTGGCTGATTGCTGGGCCAGGGGTGCTCAGGGCCCCCCCCATACGCTCCCCCGCAGACTCAGAAGTGGACCAGAAGTACTTCCGGTCCACTTCTGGGTGTGCTGCCAAGCACGCTAGAGAGCCCCCCTGTGCTGCTGTGGGACACTCCATCCACCCCAGCATGGCAGCAATCCTGAGCCACACTGTTACTTCAAGGTACATAGAAAAAACTTTTAAAGCTGTTCCTGTGTCCTGATCACTGATTCACCGAATCAGCATCGAATCACCAGATTCGGATTTGGCCGAATCAAATCAACAGATTGAATCACTGTCCCCAATTCAGGCCAAATCCAAATCCGAATCAAATAGGGCCTGTTTTGCACACCCCTACTGGCCACCTTAGAGAGCAGATTCCATTAGCTCAGCAGCTAGAGCCAACTGTTAATCAAAGTGGCTATATCATTCATATTATAACTGTGGTATCCATCTCAAAAGTATAGCAAAATTAAAGGAGACATCACATAGAATAACTAGCATATCTTGGCCCAGTTCTTCCCTCAGCCTCCAGGATATGACATCAAGGTATGAAGGATTTGACATCCCCTGAGCAGGAGAACTGGGCTCTCTGAAAGGAACGTTCAACCTGTTTTTGCTTATGCCAGCAAGTCTTGAAGTTCAAAGTGTAAGAGGTACTACTCAAAATAAATCAACTACGATAGGGCTATAATTCTATTTATTATAAATGACGTTCTATTTCCAAACCCCTTAATGGGAGAGGCCACCTTACTGGAAGATTTAATCACCTGTGATGCCATGTTGTGATGGTTTTGTCTGGAAATCAATGGTCAATCTAAACTTGAGGTGGGTCTTGTTGATGCCTCAGGTATCAGCCTTTCATCTACTGGTCATGCAGCCCAGATGCCTTCTTTTTCTCCCAATATACCTCCCCTTGAAAGTTATCTATAGAAGTGGCTTATTTTTTCTAGCTCTCTTACACACCACCTGCCTGCTCCTTTCTGAAGTCTGGTAGTTTCCTTCTCAGATTACAAGGAGTTCTTTCAAACTAGGTGTTGGGTATGAGGTGAGTTCCCAGGTGAGGATTCATGTCCCCACAATTTAAAGGCTCTTGAGGGGAAAGGAATTGCACGCCCACTTTCATAGGGCAGAAGGACCAGGAAAACCCTTCTGATCCTGCTGCAAGTACTGTTTTATCTGTGAGCTCAATTGCAGAGAAGAATCAGAATCCTTAGTGTGGTAGCTTCTGTTTCCAAGGAATGCCTTAGCTATGATGTGCTAGGGAGTATTGGGTGCTGCTAGGGGACAGAGAATAGGGGACAATGGGGGAAGGCTGCTTACCCTCTTCGCTCAAAGATTATAAAGGTAAGTGGTGGAAGGGCACCTGGGGCTTTTGAGGCGGGTACATTGGTAGGCGGAGTTTTTAAATCCAAACGTCCAAGAGTATTGCTTGAAATTGATGCAGTGCAGGCCCTGTGACCTGGATCCCAAATACCCTACTGTTCCAATGGTCAATCTGCAGAGTTTTCTAGAGAGGTTTGCTCCAGTTAGTTACTAAATAGGATAAGAAGGAATTAGTTTAAAGTGGAGTTTTCATCATGACTGATCATGCAAAACTGTTATTGAAAGGGCCTGCCCACCCAAATCATTTCTGGCACTGGTAGTTGAAGGCTAGAAAATGATATTTAGAGGTTTGCTTTTAGGAACTGGCTTGTAGGTAAAGTAGGCATTGTACTAGAACAATGATCCAGGGGAACAGCAAAGGTTAACTGGTTTCTAAAAGCCTGGTTGTGACAAAGTTTCATAGCCTCAAAGTGGACACCCCTGCCTGAGGCCAATGGACAAACAGGCTGTGAAATTTGCATGGTGTTCCCTGAAAACCCATAACAAAGATGATAAGGGAACCTGTTGCATTGGTGCCAGATCACAGTGCCTAGCTGCAAAACCCTGGGATTTCCAGTTTTGGTGGACAGACCAAATTAGGAAGTCAGGCATGCCCAAATTAAGACACCAGTAAAAGACCAAATTAAGATGTGTGCATGTGATGGGTTTGTGGAAACAAAGGACTATCCTGACAGAACAGAAAATGGACAGTATGATGATGACTACAGGGAAAAAAATCTATGGTACCCAGAAATGAAGAGTCATCAAAGGAGTAAGAATACAAAAGAGGGATTTCAAAGCAGCAAAAGGTCCCCTGCGGTGAATTGAAGGCCACCATGGACAGAGGGTGCACCACCAGCCCATCTGACCCACCCCATTGGCCCTCGACCTCCAAGACTGCTAACATTCAAGAAAGAACCACAGGGTGAAGCTCACATACTGGCCAGGAGTATCTTTCCTCTGTGGACCCTGGAACTGATAGATAAATAGAATAGGGGGGTATTTTTTTTGCCTTGCCTGCATTACTCTCTTTACTCTGTGTATCAATAACATTTGCCTATTATGGCAAGAAGAATTTGTGGTTAGTCTGAGGGTTTGGGTCAACCCAGAATAAGGTATATTGGTCACAAATCCAGTGTCAACAGTAGTAATCAGTTTCTTGCCTATTTTAGTCCCAGTTTAACAGCAGTGACTCTTTAATGCTGTATGATTTAAGCAGAGACAGTGCAAAACTGGAACACTGGGTTTAAGGTCCCCATTAGCATGCGGGGGGGAAATAGGCTGTCAGTTCTCCATTGCAGCTTGGGAGTCCTTCCAATGTAAATAAGTATTTATTTTAAATACTTTCACTAAGTCCTTCCTGTGAGTGTCTAATCAGTGCCAGTGAGAGAGAGCTAGGTCCGCTGCTTCTGTCAGTGGACTCTCCCTTCAGTTCCCCATTACAAGATGATGAGCTTTGGCTGGTAGGAGTATCATTACTGTTGGCAGTCTGATTCTGCTCTGCACTGCATTCTCTGGCAAGGCATCCATTTAATGTTACGGCAGCAGAAGTCAGCTCTTTACTTCAAATGCATCTCGCAGGGTTATTCCTAGAGAAGTGTGTTTACCTGATAACCTTCAGACTATTTGCTAAAAAAAAGGGGTAGAGGATTTTTCAGTAAAGCCAGTGTTGTCATCTTATGTCCTTGAAGCATGTTATTTTCAGGGGCCTAAAAAATTGTGCAGTCACCTGCATTGAACTTTTAAAAATTCTGCAGTGACTTTTTTGGGAATATCTATACTAAGCAGCAAAAACCAGTCTGGCCTTCCCATGACTGCTGCTTATCATCTCAATACTTCCTTCTTTAGCTAGTGTGGTACTGACTCCATTTTTGAAAAATTCTGTTTGCATCTTACCTAATGTGCTATCAAGGCATTGCAACTTGTTTTATTATGAAGGTCAACATTCTCCACACAGCTACCCCAGATAACACTTATGTTAAGTGGCACACTGGTCAAGGGTGTTCATGCCCATGTTTGGTAAGCCAGAGATAGACATTTGCCATGGTTTACTACTAGTCAAGTCAGTTCTTAAGCTGAAGTGGGAGCAGCTTGTGCTTTGGTCCTAGATACAGTCCTTGTGACTCAATCAGGGGCTGAGGTATGGTAGAACTCGTGACATTTACTTATTATTGTTGGATTTTGACCTCTTAGGGAGACCTGTAAGATAATATGTGGATTTCAATTATCTGTCAAAGAGGTGTGACCTGGGCAGACTCACCAAGAAGTGAATGGTCAGCTGGGAAATCACACAGTGGCTCTTCCTCTTCTTTGTGTTTTCTCTTGCCTTCTAAGTGCTCATGTACTTCATCGTCACTCAGAAAGGCAGCTGGGCTTGTATCCATGGCAGTAGATCTCCAGCAGTGAACTGGCTGAAGCATGTTTGTGTAGGTCCCGGGTGCAGAGCATGTGGCTTTACTCAGCATCTTTGTTGAAGATGAGTTGTTGTCTGATTTCCATGCATTGCTGCAATCTGCGAAGAGTACAGTAAAGGATTGCTTTATATCAGGCAGAGGGATGCTACCTTTCAGCTGCAATAAAGCAAGAAATGTTAGTATTTATACTTTGACTGGTAGACAGGCAGGCAAGGAGACTTGAACAAGGCAAGCTAGACATCAGGAGGAATGCACTAAATCATGCTGAACTTTGGGGTGAGGCTAGGATGAACTGTTACCTTGACATTTTTGGTGTGAGCACATGTTTGGGCGGACCTGTAATCCCCACAGATCCAACATCCCTCTTTCACTTGACTACATCCTTTCCACTTGCAAGGCCCCACAAGCCAGATTTTCCAAAGAAGGGTATACCTGTAAGCAGGACGAGATGTTCAAGAAAGCACAGCACCCACTTAGACTTCTAAGTGTTTGGTGTTTGGCCAATAGTATCTCATTAGGAGTTACTGGATGCCAATTGCTCTTGAAAATTTGGAACCTCATTAGGTGTACAAATGGAGACCTGGGTGCTTTTGAAACTCTACTCGCACCTGGTGGTGGTGTGCACTTGCAAGTCTAGCCCTGAGGAATATTGAAACTCTGACCATTCATTACATACTGATCTTTTTCATTGAAAAGCTTCAGAGGGATCTACATGCACAGGCTGCTAACACCACTCCATTGGTTCTGAAGAGGTAGCTGTGTGGAGAGCCATCTAAAGAGTAGTCATCCAAGTTGTCTTTTACTCACTGGTCCTTATCAATTTACCTGCAGTGGACTTGAACTGACCCTAATTCTTGAAGTCCTCATATTTTTCTGGCTTGATAGCATAGAGTACTACTGAGAGACCATCCATCTTATTGTCAGGCAAGATTTTGTCTCATTATAAAGATGAATATTGTGAGGACCCTGGCTGTTGTTCCTTTCCTATTTCAGTTTCAGGAGAGTGTAATCTTGCCAAATTTTAATCTAGTTTTGGTGAGGCTGTCCCCACGGTAATGTGATTTTTGCCTGACAATTTGTATAAAAAGAAACCTTGACTTTTAAAACTGTAATTTTGGTGTAAGCTCTGGCCTTGGCAAAGTCCCTAACTCTTTAGGCTTTATGTCTGAAATATGTACCCTTCTGTTCTATTTGTAACCACCATCAAAGCAAAGGAAATTATATTACCTTGAGACAAAGAACCCAATTCTGTCCTCGGAGAAGCACACAGTTACCTCAGTGGGAATTGCACAATAGTATCAGACAGCACAAGCTAGCATAAAGAAAATATGCTTGGAAGAGCTTTTGGAAATTACCCAAAGCCTTCTGTCAATAAGGGACAATTGTTCAAAAGTTATCTTCAAATTATCACAAATTGCTGGAGAGACTTCTACATATAATTGCATAAAGCCCGAGCTGGTTGACCTTTCAAGCTTGAGGCAAGGTCCAACCCTTCACTCAAAAGCTGGCAAGAGGAGGTTTGTGTGAGTTGGTGTTTACTTTGTTCCTCTGTGGGTCTTTTCATTTTGGAGTTAGTGATTAAAATTAGTCTGTTGTTCAAAAAAAATTTGCTATGTAAGAAAGGAGAATGGTCCTGTATAGATGTCACTAGCTTAAGGAGACCTGGGTTCAAGTATCTGTTCTGCTTCGGAGTTCCTGTGAACTTTGGTCAAGTCATCTAGCCTCTCAGCCCCCCAGCTCTCCATTTGTAAAATGGTGATAATGCCACTTTCTTCCCTCCTACATGTGTTGTGAGGATGAATTACAACGATCTTAAGTATTATAGTGATGGTGGCCAGAGAAACACGTAAGATAGGATGCTTTGGGTTTTATGGGGGTGGTGTTTGCTCATATATGAAGCAGTTAAATTACATTATCACATGACTAGAAGCAAGTATTTTTGCGGAGGTGATATTTTTTACTGGACTCATGGCATGGTTGGAATAAAGTTAGAGAAGCTTTTGAAAGCAAGGCATTCTTTATCAGGTCACCTTGTCTTGAATTCTTACCACTCCCAAAAAATTCTTGCCTCTCACATAATTCCAGGACCATCATGGCTACAACATCATTCTTACAGTCCCATTATGACATGACATCCTGCCCTTCAATCCTCCAGGCCCAAAAGGTCATAATATATCTCTTTCAAGTGCTCAGATAGCAAAGTGAATTGTCATGACATGCTCAAAAAAGATATTGTTAAGCAAGGAAAGAAAAAGACTAGGTGGGAAAAGAGGAGGACAGACAAAAGAGCATCTTGTATTTATGGGGGTTTGAGTAAAAGACTGAGAAGACCAGAAGCAGGCATCTATTGACAACATCATGGAGGCAAAGTGGGATGGAATAAGCATAGCAGGTAGGTTTGTAAACTCAGTAGTTCGGGTTTTGGTTGGAATCATGATAGACAGGGAGCTGATGAAAGAACATGGATACAGGGAGGAAGGATGATGTTTTGCTTGGAGGCACTGGAGTGGAAATTGAGAGGCCTGGACTATTTCTTCTGCAGTTTCCTTAGTGAGCTTTATATTGTCGATAAATGCTCTTACTTCTTTCAATGAATGAATAATCTGGTTGGGGTGGCAGCTTTATAAACCAGTTCCCTCCCCCCAAGACAATATTCTACAGAGAATTGTTTTAAAGGTATTTATGAATTTGAGCCAGGGTGAACTTTCCACTGGTGAATGCAGCTTTTTGCTGCAAGGATGGTAACATTTCAGCCTGGCACCACCTGGGATGCTTGTTACTGATATGCAGAGAAAGGGCTTTGACTGCTGACTCAAAATGGCCTTTCTGGTACGGCTGTCATTTGCACAGGAAATGGTGGAAAATTTCAGGTAAGGATGGTAAATCTCTCCTGTTGCCAGAATATCACACAATGTGGGGCAAAGTTTTTTTGCTTTGTTTTTTGTTATTGTTGGGTTGGGTTTTTTTAGGTTTCCCTTTTCCACCTGTGGTTCAATTTCTAATTACTTTAAAGAAGCAAGTGGGTGGATTCCTGGATTTATTTTTTATGACCTGAGTGATGTGGTGATATTGACCAGGCGGAACCTGCTCATTTTTATTGCTGTATCTGTCTTCTCCTCTGCAATAAAGTGGGTGGAGCACTTTTAGGGGCAAAGCAAGCAAACAACATATTCAGATTTTGCAGGGTAGTGAGAGTGAATTTCTGTGTGTTTGAACACCTCTTGCACAATGGAAAACAATGCAAGCATAAACCAATATTCTTGCTTTAACTGCTACACAAACAATAATGTCCCATATGGCCAAAGCCTCCTGCTCATGCCAACATGACAGTTCAAACAAGTTCCTACTGGTGGAATGTCAGAATGAGAGGAAGTGAAGGACAAGCATTTTTAGTTCAGGCCTGTTTCTATGCCTACTGAAATCAAGTTCCTATGAATTCCAGTAGAAGATGGTTCAGGCCATGAAACACATCACCCATCACAGAAGGTAGCAGAACTTCCCCCTTTTCAGTTAAAAGGACCTAATCCATCAGTAATTCTTGCCTAAGAAAAGTTATCAGAGTCCTAGCAGTCTACACAGCAGATGACAGGCAGAGAAGTTAGGACAGCAGTGGTCAACCTTTTGGCAGGCGTGCCACAAGATAAGCACTGACCTCTCCCCTGAGTGCCACTCTGATCCCCTTCCCTTGCCTAATCCCTGCTCTGCTCTGTCTTTCTTGCCTGACATGCTGATGTTCTCCCTGATCCCTGCCTGAACTGCAGTGTGGGAGAAACTAAAGATTAAATATAATGAACTGAGGGAAACTGGCTTTCACTTCAGAGTGTTCCCTCTTGAGCTCTGCAGGAATTGTTTGAACTCCTGGCCAAGTCCAATATGCCATGGATCCCATGCTGGAGCTTGGCATCACCTTGCAGTAAGTTTTTCAAAGTGAATTATATGACTCTTGGCAGTGAGGAGTGTGAGGGATAGAGAGCTTATGCTCCTTTACACAAATCCCACTAAAGTCAATCAAACAAATTTCTATCAACTCTGATGAGTTTTGCCTCAGACCTATAGATCATAGCAGCCTGTGGACAGGTGCTGCACACACTTCTCACAAGGCGCTGGCAGTACATTTCATCCCTGAGCTGCATCTATTTTTGTCCTAGGAAAGGCCTACATAAACTCTACCAGTGCATTTCAATTCTGAACTATTCTGTCTTGTTTTTCTGGTCCTGCCCACCATCCCTAGTATATCTGAGCACTGACTCCCAGCACCTCCTATAATTCCACTCCTGAAGCACGTAGACTTCTGGTAATGCAGCTGGACCCTGTACCACACCCATGCCTGCTCTTCCAGTCCTGGAATTCCCTGCAAGTTGTCCAGTGCATTTCAGTCCACAGCCTACATACCCCTACTCCCCTCTCAACCAGCAGTAAATACATCAGAAAGGGGCTGCGTGAGTACATAGCTTATTTCAGACCAAGGCACAAGGTTGAGTGCCTTTGGGCAAGTCTCAGAGCAGCCTTGAACATAAGCCAATCAGCATGTCAGGTGTTTGATACTGCTCTAAGGTAGCTACATTGCCTCATTATCTGGCGTTGATCCAGAGGGGCTGGATTGAGTGGGTGGCATGTGCTTCATGGGCACTCCAGGGTGCAGCATGGAACCAATGTAGACTCATCCTTTGATGAACTGAAGCAATCATCTTGAGATGTAGGGTTTACGGAGCTCCATTGCTGTTTGGAAATAAATCTTATATGGAGAAACTAGAGTTTTTACTGGAGAAGTGAAAAGGCCATTAACATAGGCATCTAGTTGGGATATTAACATATGTATGTTGTTGTTGCCTAACAATCAAAAAGCTTAATCTTTGTCCTGTATTTTAAAGCCATTTCATCAATAATAAAATAATTAATATAATAAATAAAATAATATAATAAAAATTAAAATAATTTTTGTAGCTTCCAAGGAACATAGGAGTGGAAGGGGCATCTTGGGCCTTTGAGTCCAGTCCCCCTGTATTTCTAGGCAACTATTTACTGAAGGAATTACCAAACTCACTGCTTCAACCTTTACACATAAATACAATGTATGATACCTGAAACATCAAGGACAACCCATCACATGCAAAGCAGATGAGATGAGGGCACTGATGCTGCCCTGCTACTGAAATGTCAGGGAAGTCATTGGTTAATATATGCTGAGAAGATCTGAGGATTCAGAAGATCATGCACCACGTTACTGAGAAAGACAAAATCCCCGCAGTCCATGATGCTCTGACCTAGGGGAAAAATTCTTTCCTGACTTCAAATCTGCTGATCGCTATGGCCCTAAGTGTAAGTCCAAGGCACTTCAGGAACTTCTAAGTTTTCTAAGTACCAGCAATAACTTCAGCAGAGTTCCAATAAAAATCCTCTTTCTTAGCTGTGGCGGTATTTTAGTGCTTCAGAAGAAAATGAACCCTGTTTCCTACCCCAGAAAGCAGTGGTATTCTTAAAGAGAAAAAAAAATCCTTTACGATTTCAGCAAGTGATTAGCAAGAGACCTGAAGCATGGGGTTACCAGGTACCTAAAATGGTACAGGACCTACCATTTTACCCTGCTTCTGGGACTATAGCAAGGTCCTGTGGGGATCCCTACATAATTTATTTAGTTTTTCCATGTTCTAGTGATTAATTATCTAATGTTTGTGCCTATAAAATATTAAGAGTTATTGTTACTTACAATATATATTTTATATTGCAATAAACATATGGGTAATGGTATTCATTTAGCAGGCAGCAGATGTGCAGGGTCTATTATTGTTTTTCAATAGTGGACAGAAGAGTCATACTCCCTTTCTATAGCTAGAGTCTCTTTCTAGCTGATGAAATTTCCTCAGCTTGAGCTTGATCTGTTTGTGCTTTTAAACAAAAAAAGAAATACAAATTACAATTCATCAAGTCAAGGGATGGGCCTTGCTGTGCTTGCTGCCTCACTTGCGAGGCAAAGAAATAACTGTGCTCTCAGCTGGAACAGTCTGCTGTGAAAATGTATTTGTGTTGATATGCAGTAATAAGAATCCCAGCCATCCTTAGAATCCTATGTAAAGACTTGTCAGAGCTAGTACTGGCACTGACAAGCTTAAATATGAATGGAAACAGGGGTGAGTATCTCCAGCATCACACTCCCAAATACACAGTTAATGCATAGTCCTATCTATGCTACAAAAATCTATTGACCTGTGAGTCTCAATTAAGACACAAAAGTGTCCCAAATTGTTAAAGGTCGTGTTGAAGTGATGTTGCCGTGATAGTCCAGGAAATATGCAAGAGTCAAGAATTCTTGTGAGTGATATCTGTTATTGGGCATAGGCAAGCTTTTGGGTATTACAGTATTTTTCTTCAGGTCTGTCTGCATCACTCCACAGATCTAAGGAAGGATACTGTGATGCACAAAATCTTGTCCATGTCTATCCCAATCATACAGCTGCTCCACTAAAAGATATCACTCACAAGAATTCATGTCTCTCTCAAATTGTTAAAAACAGTTCAGTCATACAGTTTTGGATGAGAACGAACTGTTTATTTTATTTATTTTTCCCAAACTGCATGTTCAGAATCCCTTTATGGCTTTGCAAACTAAACTGCTCTTTCATGATTCAGGAAATGGGTTTGGTGCTGTCAGCACCAATGCCATGTCTTTAGGAATTTTCCTGCCACTGCCTTGCTAAGAACAGTGTTCATGGTTCAACCACTACTGTAGACTGTCCACTGGATGATTTAAGCACCAGGTGGTGCAGACCTATGTGGAGCGGGTAAAATGATACTGATAAAACACTGGTGGTTGATTTACTCTGACATTCCTCATCACTGGTAGTTAAGCCATTCCTGCTGGTAACGCCGTTATGGAAGATGAGTCAGAAATTGTTAGGCAAATTCAGCCTGTAAACCAGGCCATATGTTTAGCCAGGGCCATGCATGACAAATATATTTAGTGCAGAAGTGACCAAAATTCCAGCGTACACAAGAACTGATTTTAACCTTTGGGCTAAGAAAGATGTATACTCAGCTATGGCCAAAGGAGATTCTAATCCAGCTGGTTAATCTGTTTAGATTAAAGCAAACTGTGTTAGACTAGTGAATATTTTGCAATTATTACCTTCAGTCTTTACCCAACCCAGCTGCTTTTGTTTGGTTTTGTCCTGTTCCAGAGGTGTAAGTGGGTGCTTGAGTGCCCTGGGAGGCAGTGGCGCACAGGGTAGTGTCTCTGGGCTCCCAGTAGCAGCTGGGCTGGTAGTGCAGCTCTTGCAATTTTTATTCCCCCCAGGGTCAGTGCCTGGAGCTGGCGCCCTGGTTGTCCTATCTTCATTATGCTATTGTCCTGTTTATATTTGCCATTCAACCTCTGTTAGAATTCACTTTGGACACAAAACAGTTGAAATTGTCCCAGAACACAGTGGTTACTTAGACTGTAACATTGCCGGGCCAGGGACTGTGTCTTTTTCTGTATTTGTGCGATGACTAATGCCAATGCCTAGTTATGGACCCTGATCCATAACTGAGGTCTCTGTCAGCTATTTTATTACAAATAATAAATCATAATGATTAAAACACTGCTGTAATGCAAAGACTAAACTAGGCCTATCTTAAATTTTTCCATCAAGGCTGTTTTTTGTCAAATAAGTGGATTATTTTGGAAGTATCAACTTTGGGCAGAAAATTTGGACTGCTGTTGAAAAACCAAAAATGTAAACACTTTTGGTTTTGGCTTTTTGAAAAAAAATGACATTTTTTGCAGGAACAGAACCATGTTCCAAGTAGCTCTAGGCCAACTGAACAAAGCCAAGGAAATGAATGTTAAGAAGGCCAGTCAGTGCATTTGTTGGTTTGAAGTACTGGGATTAGGTTATCTAGCAGCTAACTAGTCAAGTCCAGTCCCTGAAGGAACTCTAATGTCCCTGATGATAAAGAGAGACTATAAAGAAAAATAATTTCTGTTCTTCCCATCCTAGCACTTGAGTTTCAATACTGCTTAGCTACCTTCTCCTTACAGTCCAGTGCTCCCAAGCAGTTGAATTTATTAAAACATGTTACTTTTATGGAGCTTGACTCTATTGGCACTATCTGGATCTGGTATAAATCAGTGAAATTCCATCAACTTCTTAGAACTTACACCTGCTTACATTCGGCCTGCATTTGACCCTCCATCCTTTCTTACAGGAAGGACAGATGCTTGATGATCATTCAGATATGCTTGTACTTTTTTTAAAGAGAAAGGCAAAAGGACATCTTATTTTATTGGTAATCTCCAGGAATTAGACCATGCAGTTACTATACATAGGCTGCCACACTGTCTCTTGCTGTTTCAGACGATACATCCCCTTCTGCTAGGGCTCTGAGGCTTTTGTAACACACTGGGCGCATCTACACAAGACACATAATGTCCAGTAGCCTAATAACACTGTGCAGTAGTGCATCACAGCATGGATAGTGCTAATATGCTATTGTACAGCATCACTAAAAAGGCATGTACTGACACTACTGTGCAGTAACTCTGGTTACTGTGTATTTAGTTAGTACTTCATTAAGCAAGTACTAAATTAAATCCACAATTACTACTGCACATTAATGAATGTGTAGATGCGCCCACTGAATTCCAAGGGGAGGCAGCAGATGGGCCCCTGAAAACATGCGAGATCATCTGTAAAATCTTTTCAGTTTTAGTTCATATTATATTTATATGCACCTATCAAATATATGGTACCAGCCATACTCTTGACCAATGAAATCTCAGATTTCTATAAGGGCATAAACAGGATTCTACATAGCCAATCTGAATAGATTTGGAAAGGGGGAAAAGTTCTCAATAAGTAATATAAAAAATGCTTACCCGTGGCAAGTTCCAGTGGGGGCTCAGAGCCCAGGGCTGGAGTTACTTCGGCGTGGCTACTTCTATTCCTGGCTGCATTGTTTAGGCAGATGCTAGAAGAAGGTTTCTTTAAGATCTCCTCAATGGAAAACGACAGAACGGGCTTCCCCAGACTGTCACACTCTCTAGGGTCAGTCATCTTCATTCCACTAGGTGCGGAAGGGAAGGATATCGTCTCCAGCTTCCCCCACTGGAGCTGTTTTTGTTGTTTGTGTATTCCAAGAATAATACAGCTGAGTAGGTGTGTTTCGCTGCCTGCTTGCACCCTCCCAAGCTAAATCAGCAGGAGAAGGAGAAATGGAGACCACACACATATGGGAGAGTCCGCACCTTCTCCTTCTGATTGCTGCAGGGCATTTCCAGATCAGGAAGAGTGCTCGAGTTTCTGGGAAAATAACATCATGACTATCATGGGGGGGGAGTCTAAACAACCCCACCTACCACAAAACAAACCCTAAACCACTATAAGCTTTGAAGGGCTCTGAGCAATCTCATTGTAATTCCAGGAGGAGGAGGAGGAGCATTCCACACAGGCTCGTGCCAAAAACTGCCCTGGAAAGAGTTGCTTAATATAGGTAAAGAATGGTGGGCAATTATCTTCTTTTTTGCTTTCAAGTCAGGATCTTGCCCCAGTCTTAGTGTCTTGTACTATTATGACATAGGAAAGTGTTTGTAAGCTCAGAGACTTCTATGCCCAATTACTAGCATGGGAAGCACACTAGAAACTTCCCCAAAATCTGAGATACTCTCTTCCAGAGCGAAGGAAACCTCCTCCGCTTTTAACAGCCAGGCTTTTTCTCCAGCTCCCTCCTCACCAAGGAGCCTTAATTCAGATTTTCTCTTCTTCCAATCTCAAAACCCCTCAAACCTTTCAAATAGTTCATTTGCATAATTTTTCCTTCATACCAGTGAAGACAGAAAGAGAAACCTCTGTAACGTTCATAGGGATATCAGTCCTTTGGCAATAGAGTTCTCTTCTTTTTACCTCTGCTCTCTAGTAACGTTGGCTGAAAAACGTTCCCCAAGGTATTCTTTCTTCCCAGCTGGGTCTCCGCAGCAGGGGGAAAGTTTCTTGGATAATGCTGAAGAATGCCAGTTATTCCTCTTCCCTTCCACTTCTTTCTTCTTGTTAATTTTTATTTAACAAAGAATGTGCAGCTGGATGACCCCTTTCTTTAAACCTTGATAAGGCTGTCTGGGATTGCCCTTCACCCACCTTTTACATTTTTACTCTTCTGTCTCCCTTTTTCTGCTGGTTCTCCTCTTGCACCTTTCTTATCTGTCTTCTATAATTGTATTGACAGGCCCTGCCTTCTTTGTCCAATGAACTGACAATTCTTGAGTTGATACCTCATCATAAGATCCCTTCATAGAGCTGAAACTAAAATTACTGTGTAACCAGGAGGCAATAAAACACACCTGATAAGATGAAAGTCTTTCAGCTTTTTCCAGAGGTTCCAGGTACTGGAAAAGCAGTGGGGGTAGGGAGTGAAACAATGGTGATGTCTAAAACTGTTTCAGTCATTCATAATGAACTATATGTGATTATCTGACTTTAATAATCAGCTGCTGCTCAGGGGAAAGACTGAGCAAACAACTGTCTTTTCCACTGATAAAAAAGGAGGAGATGAGAATCAGAAACATTTTTCTTTCATCTTATAATACCCCCCTCTCTCAGTTCTTCATGGACAGTGATTTTGGGGTAAGGGACAATTTTCCCATCTTCACCTGGGACAGGCCTCTAGTTAAAGAACCTCTTTGGATTTCTCTCAGTGCCAGGGGTACCGACCACTCTTACATAAGACCACTCTATACATAAGTGATACCTCAGCTGCTCTCCTATTGAGTGCCCGTGAGACACCTTAGCCACGCTTGTCTGTCACACTGCTGTACTTAAGGGTCTTTCTAGCCCAGCCTTGCAAAATGTCTTGTGAATGTGCCCACAGAGGCCTTTGCACTGGTGCCATGTATAACTCTTCCTGGATATGTCAAAGCAAGGTTTTCATAGATTCACAGATTGTACAGGGCTGGAAGGGACCTCGCAAGATCATCAGGTCCAGCCCCCTACACTAGGCAGGAAAGATAACTGGGGTCAGGTGACCCCAGTGAGGTGACCATCCAGTCTCCTCTTGACGATTTCCAGGGTAGGTGATTGCACCACCTCTGGAGGGAGTTTATTCTACAGTCTGGACACCCTAGCTATAAAGAAGAACTTGAGTATCATATTCATGTTTGCCAATCTTTCTCCACCAAGTAAAGGTTTTAGTATTAACTATTGTAATATGGAGACAGGAGTCCGTTATCAGTATATGGTGTTTACTGTATCGTAGATGGTAAAATAGAAATAATTTGATCCCAATAAATTGCTGACTTTAAGTAAATTGTAAGTATTAATCTACACTGAAATAGCTGTATAATGTATTCCTTATTCAAGCCAAAGGACTAAATGCAAAAAGGCATGAATCCAGAGAATAGTATATTTACTCAACTTCAAGAGGTCTAAACCGAAAGCACAGTTCTGCCCTAGGACAACTAATTCTCTTACCAACAATGTAATACAAGATTGCAAGACACTCCTTTGCAGAATAACTTTGTGTTACAGTAGTGGCTTGCTGCCTCATTGTGACTGTATGGGAAGCACATTTAGCCATCGTAAAAGGGGAGGAAGCGGTGGCTGCTCCCGAGCACTGATCAGCTGTTAAACAATTAAACTTATGTCTGCATGAGCCTGTAGGTGTGGTTCTTAACCTTTTTAGCCTTGAGGCACCTTGATAGGCTTTCATTTCAGGTCTGGGTTTACTCAAAATAAAGCTTTGTGATTCATGCAGAAGAAATGGGAGTAATCTTTCTTCAGAGGGAAGGAGGAGAATGAACACCATATGTATATAGGCCTGGTTTTAAGCACTGTTGTAGAATGAGATTTCTCTTTTCTTTATGATTATTAACCTGTAAACAGGAAAGGATTTTGAACAGCTTCTGAAAAGCCATGGAAAGCCCTGGTGCAGCATGTGTACTCCATTAATTCCACACTGTCTATGGTGTCAGCTTTTATCTCAACCCTGTCAAACAGGCAGCAAAATCCATGTACTGGGAACCTCACTACCAAGTTTCAGGCCATACATCTCTTCTCTGTCAAGGATTCTGTGAACAGGAGCAGAAAGACCACTGCTTGGCCTGGTGGTTTTGTTTGCTCTCTGTAGTTGCTTGGTGAAGCCCAGGAGAACCTTCCTTCCAATGCTGTGGAAAATTTTGTCCTGGGTTTATGGTTGCTGTGTGTTTCCAGTGGGGTAGTTTGTTGACACAGGAGAGAAGGGGGGTTACAGTGAGATTTGTGATACGCCCTAAAATACCTTTTAAAAGGATTGGCTGAGGCTAGGGTCATTAGATGCGTTAATGAGCTGGGTTTATTTCAGGGCAGCAAATGGCACACTCGCTCCCCAATGGTCTTGCACCACCATCCATTCAATTCAATATACTTTTTCAGCAGCACAAAGGTCATATCTTCAGAGGGTGTGCTGTAAATTGGGGTTGCTGTATTGATACTTAACAGCAGTGATGACTGGGTCCAATGTTACCATTCTGAATATTCATTTATAAAAGGAAGAACTGAAGACCATATATTCTGAAGTCTTGGATTTCAGGAGCAACCTCATGGCTGAAATTATACTATTATCTTGGTCACAGAACTGAAAGCACTTTGCCTTTCTCTATTGCAGTATCAAAATTGCTTCATGTTAATTGCCTGTTTGGTCCACAAGATGACTCTCCACCCAAAATTCAACTGTAGCATGCTTATGTAACTATTTTGTTGTAGTTTGCATCTTTAAATTCCTATGCAGATGTCTGGACAGCAAATACAGTTGACTTTCATTTACTACAGTTGCTGAATTATCCATGCCATTTAGGTGGTAAACTTCTTGGAGAGGGAGACTTGTCTTCCTGTGGGATTTCTAAGAACCAAGTGCAATACCTCAAGCCAGGTGGTAGCGAAGAGGAATCCATGTAATTTTGGTCCCATCTTCTGATTTTGCTTGTGTCAAACAAATCAAGAAGTGCGTGGAATTTGTAAAATGCAGTTTATAAATGATGAGATGTTCTCAAAAGTTGATAACTTGGGGCCAGCAGAATTGAAATTGAACCGTGTTCAACCTTCTGGAGTCTGTTATTACAGGTAGCCTGTTGCAAATGGGAAAACTGTGAGCTAACAAATTCTGTGCTGGTGTCAGGCAGGAAGAAGATTTCCCTCCTATCCTTTTAGTATGTGTCTTTTTTCTAAGTGCAAAGAGGGGAACTGAATGAGATCTCTCCTGAATCAATTGATAACAGTATCCTTTGTGAGCTCCCTTAGATCCTGCCTTAACAACCTGCAGCCACAGTGCTTACCACCAGAGATGTCACTTGCACTCTGCAGCACTGAGAACAGAAGTCATGATGACTAGGCCCAAAGCATGTGCTCAGTCAACTATAAGGAGTAGTTATAGTACATCAGCTGGTCAAGGCCATTGGGGCATATAGCACAAGGCAGTTGCTATATGCAGTGCAACTGTAAATTGATGTCATCTCTGGAGCATCATCTCCTTGTAGGTTGCCTTCCATCCATTATGCCTTATGAGACTCTGACTGTTTCCTGAGGGACATTTGCTATGATCTTCTCAAAGTTCAACAGCTGGCAACAATCTAACAGAAAGCCCAAGAGGCCTGTCTTCTGGAGTCCTTTTAACCTTAGATTTATTAGCTCTGTTGTCTCTGTAGATTTATCAACGAGCCCATAAGTTAGAATTATTAACAAAGGGACACTGTGGGTTTAAACCGATAACATTTATTATGTTTTTTTTTATGGCACAATTATTATCAATTGACATTTAAGATGGCATCGTAATCCATCAAGGTGAAATGGACTCAGAAAGCTATTACTCGAGGGTAAAAAATAATAACAACAATGACAGAGGGCTTGGAAAAGGATAGGGTTGGGGAGAAGCAAATAGTTTGAATCTAGGTCATTGATCATACAGTTTGGAGATGGGATTTAACAATTTCGGTGCAAGTTTAATTTATTCCCACTTTCTGTCATGCTTTTTATTTTTCTCCTAAAAACTTTATAAATGGCTTCCATTAGGAAAACACAATAAAAATCCATGTAACTTTATTTAACAGGCTGCTTGAAGCCAGGTCCTGTTTTGTGTGGGGAAGCTATGGTTATTATATACAGCAATGGTCAGAGAGTTTGACGAGTTGCCTTCCATAAGCAATGCAGGGCTGTGGATGTTGACCAGAACAGAAAGTGGTCTGCCGAATCTGCAAGCAGATTCTGGCTTCTGTTCTGTTTAGTGTGTATAAAGTAAAAAATGAAATAAATGTGCCTGTATAAAGCAAGCTTTACATGCATTCATGTGAAGGAATAAGGACATCCCTTTTCTGTTAAAATGCAGGAGCTGTATTTATGGCAAGGATAACATTCTTGGCAGACTCAGGGCACTGATATCACAATAATACAGGAAGTATATCACCTCTGACTAATTATTTGAAATTGGCCTTGGATGTACAGCAAATGTACAGTCATGCAAGCCGATGAGTTTCCTACATCCTGAAACAGCTCTGCATCACCTGACTATGGAGAGAACACTAAATCCTTCTAGGCAATCCACAATGTAGCATCATTCATTCTGTAGCAGTTTTGAGCATCAAGGATCAGAGCCCTACTATACAGAGGGTGCGAATGGATGGTGCATCTACATGTGATGCTACTCTCTCCAATTTGTCCACATCCGTTCTGTAGTGGGGGGTCTAAAACTGGACACAGTATTCCAGATGTGGCCTCACCAGTGCTGAATAAAGGGGAATATAATCACTTCCCTTGATCTGCTGGCAATGCTCCTACCAGTGCAGCCCAATATACCATTAGTCTTCCTGGCAACAAGGGCACACTCTTCACTCATATTCTGCTTATTGTCCACTGCAGTCCCCAGTAGGGCTGTGCAAAGCTTCGGTCGAATCAATTCAGAGGAGATTTGGCCTGATTCGGCAGCCAAATCTCTGAATCGAAATCGAATCAGGGGTCCCCTGCACGCTTGGCAGCAGACCTGGAAGTGGATCAGAAGTA